GAGTACTATACTACGTACAGTCCTATACTTAATGAGTAGCCTAGTCAGGTCTGTGATGTCTGGGGCGCCGCAGTAAGTAGTTAAGCAGTAGTCAAGTTTCTTTTGTTTTATCAAATTTTATAGTGGTCGTCAAATGCAGTCCGGCTTAAGTGCGCAAGTCATAATATGAGCCGCGTTGCGACATTCCTTCCCATAAGTTCCTCTCCTGAGCTCTAGTTCAAAATAGCTATGCACATGGAAACATGAAAAATGCTGCTGTTTTAATATTTTACAGTAATACCTATAACAAAATATAACTCATTTTACCGCGTATACAGGCCATTAAATAACAGTCGTAAAAACAACGGTGATGAAATAATCCTCTTCTAGACGCAAAGTATTTTCAATAACGTGGTGGTTACCCTCTTAGTGAACCAATAGGCCTAAAAAACTATATCTGCGACGAAACGTTTTTCGTCTCCTTGTCTGTGGCCCGTAGGAACCAGAATCAACGGATTCCCTTTGCAGCGAGATCTTCTTTGACTCGTCGAAGATAATGCGGGTCGGGGTAACCAAAGCTGTAGGAGGTAAACGAAGATTGTTACATTAATCAACACAATAATAAATGTAGGGAAACTAGTAAGTGCTCTCCTTTATTTATCATTTTATTGTCGTTGACTTGGGGTTAGAAGAGTGCATGTGTAATCCCCAATAGCAATTTAGTATTTCAATTTAAAGCAACAACAAACGAAAATAGCATGAACAAAGGAATTAAAAGACAAAGAAATCAAGGACCACATCATTCAAATCACAGTTGGAAATAGAATTAAACACCAAAATGAATGGGCAATAAAGTAGTAAGACTTCATACCCATGGGCTCCTCCGTGCATGTTGGTCTTATGATGTATATCATTCCACGTTATTTGATTCGAAAGTCCTGTTGTTATCGAGGTCCCAACAGTAAACACCAGGCGTGCATTAAAAGCTCTGTGTAATAGCTGCAGGACTTCTCTGCCCTCGTTGTTATCAGGGAGATAAGCAGTACGGTGTGTGCCACTGTAATGCTGACCGGGATTCGGATGTTCTGGACCTTGAATTCCAGATGGAAAGGAATACTGAATGCAGATGGTACCACACCCTGGCGATGAACGACATGAAAAATTGTATTACTTGGTCATTATCAATGAATTACCACATTTAACCTGGTCAGATATTCCTGCCAACAGTTTTTTTTTTTCCTGCCAACAATCTTAGTTATTAGTTCAATTCCCGGAGATTTCAGCCCATTTCTAACGGCTATCGGTACATTTTGTAGATTGAGATCTCACTTACCAGTTAAAAAGCATTATTTCTCAGCAAACAATTAAATTTTTGACCAGTTGTCAGATATCAGTTAAACTCCGACATTCTGTTCCAAGAGATTTCACGGCTTAATTCCCAGAACCTTCCAACAGTAACTCTGGAAGGGGATGGGCGCGAACTTGTGAAGCCCAAGATTTAATCATATGAGCAAAACTAAAGTCAAAACGGAGAGATAATGACTTACCATAGTGACCTGGTAGACTAGATGGCATGGAGGACCAAGTCATCTGTCCAGGAGGTTGATTTCCCGTAACAATGCCCTGTGGCTCTTTACAAATGGGGCAGATGTTGAGTATACCCAGCGCTCTCTTCAAGCAATCTTCGCAGAAAACATGTCCACACTTTATAGTTCGAGGGTTTACCATGGTATCAAGACATATCGGACATCTATGATGCAAAGTCGCCTCTGCTGAAGAAAATTGCAACAACACCTACTTACAGTCTTAATCGTAATCTGCAAACAGAGGGAGGTGAATCTCAATATGACATGAGAGAGCCCGACTGTTTGCCGAATGCTGTTGTACTTTTTCCTCGAATGAAATGAAAACTGCTCTTAAAGAATGAGGGTGGTAAAGGGGCGGTATAGATCACGTTTCATGGAAAATAAAGCAGCCCTTTCACAATTCACGAAAAATACAACATTGGCATTTCACGCTTCACGGAAAATAAAAGAGAA